CTCAACCCGCTTCCATGAGCTGGCGATTAGCAAAATGGGCCTTACTCCTGTCCCAATACGACTTACACTTTAAACAACAGAAGTCAGTGAAAGGACAGGCCATCTGTGATCTCCTCGCAGCTAATCCAACTACGGATCCTGCCGAGATATATGACGATCTACCCGATGAGGCCCACGAAGTCAACGCAACTTCTCACCAACAAATATGGCGCTTATACTTCGATGGCGCTTCGCGAGCAACTAATGTTGCAAGTGCTCCTGGAAGTTCTAAAATCTCCTCCGGAGTTGGAGTAGTTTTAGTTTCCCCAGGAAAACATGTGATGCCTCGCGCCTACTCGCTAACCGAGCCATGCTCGAATAATGTAGCAGAGTATAACGCACTGATCATAGGACTCAACTTCGCTAAGGAGCTGGGGGTTGAGTATCTCGAAGCCTTCGGCGATTCTCAACTGATAGTTAAACAAGTTCAGGGAGAGTACGAGGTTCGAAGCCAAGATCTAATTCCATACCATAAGATGGCGGTAGAGATGGCAGAATCATTCGAAGGATTCTTTATCGAACATATTCCACGGCTACAGAATACTTATGCGGACGCGTTAGCAGCATTGGCCGTGTCTCTGGCGCAACCTCCCGAGACAGAACAGTTTGTTACGGTAAGAACTCACCAACTCCTAGTGCCGCTTTATAATAAAGATGCCGAGGAAGAAGAAGTTCAAGAGGTACATGGTACTCAAGTCGAATTCGAACCACGAGATTGGCGTTTCCCCATCATCGACTACGTCCTGCATGGAATCTTGCCAGAAGATGTAAAGGAAAGAGAGTCAATCCGGCGAAGAGCGCCCAGATTCTACTACAATACGAAGAATCGAACGCTATACCGCAGGGGGTATGATGGGTTGCTATTGCGTTGCCTATCAACCAAAGAGGCTGAAGAGGTCCTTAGGGAAGCGCACGAAGGAGAATGTGGCGTACACCAACCTGGTCCTAAGCTTTATGATCGCATCAGAAGAATGGGGTATTTCTGGCCTTCTATGATGAATGATGCAATTACGTATGCCCGAAAGTGTGACGCATGTCAAATACACGGGAATTATGTACACCAACCTCCGGAGCACCTGCATCCGTCGGTTACGTCATGGCCGTTCGAGACTTGGGGAATGGACATTGTTGGCCCTATAAATCCTCCGTCAGTCAAAGGCGACCGGTTCATCCTGGCAATCACCGATTACTTCTCCAAATGGGCCGAAGCAGTTCCACTCAGAGAAGTTAAAACGAGCAACGTCATTGGATTCATCAAGCACCACGTCATCTATAGGTATGGTGTTCCAAGACGAATCATACATGACAACGGTCCTCAGTTTGTCAGCAATGCCTTCATAAGGTTCTGCGAAAAGTTTAAAATTCAGGACATCGCATCGACGGCTTATAATCCTACAGCGAATAGATTAGCTGAAGCCTTCAACAAGACTATCATCAAACTCTTGTCAAAGATCGTGAAAACTAACAAACGAGACTGGAATGACAAGCTTGGCGCAGCTCTATGGGCCTATCGGACCACGGTGCGCACACCAACGGGAGCGACCCCGTATTCACTGGTATACGGATGTGAAGCTGTTCTTCCATTGGAGATCCAAATACCATCTCTTCGGATCGCTCTTTCAACCCAGATGTCGACCGAAGAACAACATCAGAAACGCCTCGAAGAACTCGAGAAGCTCGATGAAGAGCGCATGGTGGCTCAACAGCATATCGAGTTTTACCAAGCTAGAATCTCTCGAGCCTTCGACAAAAAGGTTCGACAAAGGAGTTTCAAAGAAGGAGATTTGGTTCTAGCTGTGAAACGGCCTATGATCTTAAACTCCAAGAAGAAGGGTAAATTCGAACCCAAATGGGAGGGACCATCGTAGTGGAGACAGTCTACTCGAGTGGCGCATATCGCCTCGTCACCAAAGACGGCGACCGGCTCATGATGCCGATAAACGACAAATTCCTAAAAAGATACTATCCTTAGTATCTTTTTGGATAACCAATGCATCGGGAAGTTCCCGGAAGAATACCACATGGGTATTCTTAGGGATAACCCGGTCATTGTGGAATTGACGAATAAGAACTCTGCATTCGAACGCTGAAGGTCAGAATGTCTCTTCTTATTCCCATCAAAATTTTCCAACTCTTATGAGTTACTTTTGTGAGATGAGATCTAATCCTCTGATAGGTTAATCTTTCCTCACCAAACCATCCGCTGATCAAATCAAACGACAGTGGACCCACCAACATTTCCATCTGCCAGTCATTGGCGTATCTCAAACTCCAGATTGGTCAAACCTTCCTACAGTTAGGGCCAAAGCCAAAATCCTCTCTCGATTCCTTCCATGAACGAAAGGTCCACTTGGAACAGTCAAACCTATAAAAGTTAGGATTGTTTCCGATCTCGCTTAGTCAAGCCTACACATGGTCAAGACTAAAGTCGAGTCACTCCTTTTCGATAAACGAAAATCCACCTTTGTCCCCTTTTTCCACCAAGCCTATAAAAGTTAGGGTTAAAATTGGGTCTTCTCCTCAATGAATGAGGGGTTCTTTGGGTTCAAATGACCAATCCTATAAAAGGTAGTGTCGTTCGAACTTTTCCGATTCTCGGAGTGGAGATCCCACTCTTAGTTTCATCCTGCAGGATTCTGGGGGTGGAGATCCCACCTCGAGTTTCCTTTCCGCCTGAAGATAGAATATAAAATTCTTCCTCTTCGGCAACGGGAGATAGAATATAAAATTCTTCCTCTCTCGTTTCTTTTCCACCGGGAGATAGAATATAAAATTCTTCCTCTCCTCGGACCTTTCCGATGCTCGGAGTGGAGATCCCACTCCCAGTTCATCCTTCCAGATACTGGGGGTGGGGAATCCCACCTCGAGTTTCTTTTCCAGCTGAAGATAGAATATAAAATTCTTCCTCTTTAGCACCGGGAGATAGAATATAAAATTCTTCCTCTCCTCGGACCTTTCCGATGCTCGGAGTGGAGACCCCACTCCCAGTTCATCCTTCCGATAGAATATAAAATTCTTCCTCTTCAGCACCGGGAGATAGAATATAAAATTCTTCCTCTCCTCGGACCTTTCCGATGCTCGGAGTGGAGATCCCACTTCCAGTTCATCCTTCCGGATTCTGGGGGTGGGGATCCCACCTCGAGTTTCCTTTCCAGCTGTAGATAGAATATAAAATTCTTCCTCTTCAGCACCGGGAGATAGAATATAAAATTCTTCCTCTCCTATTTTGACACAACTTTCAACTTCCAATCCGCGCACTTGGTGCATGGGGAATTTTATCCCGAATCCTAAGTAGGGATAAGTCAACACCTAACACGTGTTGCCGGGTAGCCTATTCCCGTGACAAGGGCAAAGTCTACGTATTCGAAGTCGTAGCATTAAGTCTAAGGGAGTTCATTCCTTTAGCACAACGTTACATGCGGAACGGAGTTCGACAATCCGCATGCTAGCCCGATTCAAACGGTAATCGGTAAAGGCATATCAAACCCGTTGAAGGCTGGGGGTTTGCCAAAAACCCCAAAGTCAATGCCTAACACGCGTTGCCGGGTAGTCTATTCCCGTAAGAAAGACGAAGTCTATGTATTCAAAGTCATAGCATCAAATCTAAGAAAAGCAATTTTCTTAGCACAACGTTACATGTGGGACGGATCTAGACAATCCACATGCTAGCCCGATTCAAACGGTGATCGGTAAAGGCATATCAAACCCGTTGATGGCTGGGGGTTTGCCAAAAATCCCATAAAATCTGTCATTCAGAAGAAATGCAGACAAATCACAAGAAAGAAGCAAATGTGGAGTTTCTATTAATAGGTCAAGTCAAAAGCATACAACAAAGAGCTCATTAGCCCGAAGGCAACTGACGGCTAAGAATATGAGACTTTAAGCTAAAAAGTCTATCTGTATAGCTCTGCTCAAGTCCCGCCTGCAGATCTGCTCGGGCAGATTCCTCAGAACAGCTCAAGATCTCCGCAGCTTCACTCTTCAACTTCATCAATCCCTCCTGAGTGGATCCGAACTCCTCGAGTACCTGGTCACGGGAACGCTCTAGTCCGATCAAGTCATCTGCGATAAGAACGGCGGATTCCTCGGCACGCTTCAAGGCCTCCTTCAACCTAGTCGCTTCCTCGCGATTCGAGTCCAAGGAACGGAGTAACTCAGCTTTCTCCCTATCCATCCTCGCCATGTTAGCCATTAGATGCGCAAGGGAGCTCTCGCGTGACTGAAGCTCACGCCCGACGGAAGATCTCAGTTCACGCCACTGCTCCATCCTATGCTCTAACTCAGAGGATACGAAAGAAGAAGCCCCGGTAACCTCCAGTTCCTTCAACTCTCGTATCTCTGACTCCAGGGCAGCGAAATCAGCAGTGAAGGAATCAGCCAGTTCCGGGTATCCTTCTTCCCTCATCATCGTCATGTGGCGAGAGAAGGAACGCCGGAACTGATCGAAGCCGCCTCCTCGGTGGAGAAGCTTCTCGATCAAGCCATTATACCAGGCGGTGAAGAAGCTGAGGTCCGTACGGAAAGCCTCTCCGTCAGGATCAGTATCGGCCAAAAGGCTACGGACACGCTCGTGCAAAGAAGATTGAGATCCTACAAGCAACAACTTGGAAGCTCAGTGAACTATTGAATGTGGAAAGGAAAGTCAAAAGGCAGGTTCCGAATATACCGACGCCAACGGATGTCCCATCGGGTTGAGAGCCGACAGGCTCCGAGACAGCAGCAGAAGAGGGTACGTCAGCCCCTGCAGACAGATTGCTCGCACCACTCGGCAGAGACGGGGAGGCACCACTGCTATGAGGACTTTCAACCCCGGGGACTGTAGCAGTATCAGGCTGAACGCCTGGTCCTACAGTGACATTCCTATGTTAACCCAAATGGAAATTTGGACAAATAAGGAGAATCGGGATAAGAAGGTCGTATGAATACCTGCAATCCCCATGTCCTCAGATGCAGCCGGAATGCCAAGAGTCATAAGAGTATCGGCCCAAGCTGCTGGTCCTATGATGACACTCTCTTATTAGTCAAAATGAAAATTTAGACGAATAAGAAGAATTGGGATCTGCATACCTGTAGATCCATTATCCGCGGGCATTTGAGGGATGTCAGGAGTCATATGAGAATCAGTCCTAGCGGCTGGTCCTATGATTGCACTCATTAGTCAAAAGACAGATAAACATAGGAAAGTACAATATCCCTGAATCGTATACATACCTGCAAGCCCGTCACTCTGAGGCAAACTGGATATGCCAGGGATAGATACCGGGCTAACTCCAATGGTTGACGCTACGATAGTCAATCATTCATTAATGAAATAAAAGATCGGGCAAGAGGAGGAGAATCAGATATGTACCGGTAGACGAATCATTCCCAAAGAATGGTCTCTCGGTCCCTCTGGAAGTTTGCTCAGCCAGCATGTCAGCTAGTAAGCCGGCATCCGGCTTCGAGAAGCTTGGCCCCTCCATCGCAACATCTGCAAGGTAACCTGAATGATGAAAGATGAGGAAAGCTCAAATCTTCCTTCACCTTACATAAGGAAAATGACATTGGATGCGGATATACCTGAATAAGGGATTGTGGGCTCAACATTATTTATCTGCTCAAGATCGATGTTAAGGTCGATGCCCAAAGACCCATCGTGAAAAGCGTCGCACATTTGTTGCACAAAGCAATCCATGTTGTCAACGCCAGGGGACGCCGAACCCGGTGGGAGTTCTCCCTCCTCGAAGAAACCTGAAGCACAAAACATGGTCACAAATCCCCAAAAGGTAAACAACCTTGAAGCAAGAGCAATTGAATGTTACCTCCCCCTCCATCGGCGGTGCTCCCTAAGTCCACTCCACAGGGACGCTGACCGTCATGAGGCTTATGGGCGGTCTTCTTCCTCTTCGGGGCACCAACCCTCCGAGGACCAAAGGGTCGAACATGCGCAGGCCTATCACACGTTTCAACGTGTGTAGGAGCTGGTGGCTCATGATCATCGGCTGTCCTACCTAAAGTGACAATGGCCATTTCAATGAAAAAAGAGCTGTCATTTATGGAAAAGGAAAATCAAAGGGGCAGGACAAACCGGTATCGAGATCCCCTCTGCCGGTATCTGCATCCACATACTCTTCCTCGGAGGTCTCATCATCGTCATCCGTAGGGAGGAGCTCTTCTTCGTCTGCGAGAGGAGATTTAGCATGCCCTTTTCTCCGCTTCTGAGCAAGCTCAGCCTTGCGACCAGCTATCATAGCAGCCCGGACCGCATACTCAGACTGTAACTCTGAGAGGCTCCTCACACTGATAGACTCGTAGGCAGAAAGGAACCACTTGCAGCTGAGGAAAGTGGTCATCGTCTTGCGCCTATACGAAGGAAGAGCGAAATGAGCTCCAGTGCAGCCCACCATCGTCCATAGCCACGCTCGTACGCCATCAATCAATCCTCCCTCAACCTGAAGGCTACGGCTCGGATTCCCAACATACAGTTGGTCGTAACCGAACTGGCGAGCAAAGCGGCAAGGGAGATAAGGCTCTATGTAGCACTGGTTCTTCACCCGGAGGACAAGATATCCAACGCGGATGTTCACTAGCCACCGGAAACAACCAGCGTCGAGGATAGTCCGATCGCTTCTAGGTTTCTCCTCATCAGTCAGCGCGTCGCCATAGCGACCTGAGAAATGAGGGAAACACTTAAAGAATTCCCAGCTCTTGCGGATTCGAAGCTCTTGCTGCACATCACTAAACTTGTTCCCGAGCCATCTGCTCTTCTCCAACAGCTGCATGAAGGGGACGGGGATGTCAACAACACTGGGCGCTGACATCAAGTCAGGACGGTGAAGAACGAACCACGCCATCAGATATGCATAAGGGAGCTCAACCTTCGGACAAACAAGCTCAGCTGATGGTGCAGAGCCCATATGTGTGAAACTACTGACCAGACCCCTGAGCCCGCAATGGATGCTAGCAACCATTGCTGGGAGCAGGGAAAGCTCTCTCCCGTAGGCTAGCTGAACTGCAGGGAAGAGCACCTCGATGGGTAGAGCGTCTGAAGACTGATGCGGGACGACGCATTTCTTCAACCAAAGGGCGAGATAGCCTGCTAATAGAGTCCGGGGCCCAATGGACTTCTGTGCACGGCGGAGAAAAGAGCGAAACTTGGTCCCCGCGGGAAAAGTTCCCTCAGCACTGGCAATAGTGTAAGATTGAGCCTCAGTCTTCTCCAGCAACTCATTAACCGCAGAAGGGACCAATATATCTAACGCATGAACGGGCTCGTCGGAGTTACCCTCCAAGTTCTGGAACAAATAGCAGGCAAACTGCTTCAAACTGACCTGCCTCTTCCTCTTCGCTTGAGGAGAAGTCTGAACCAAGGAGGTGTGATAATGACAGGTAAGATCCCAGAGAGTGTCATACATGTCGGGAGTATCTTTCTTCATACACTCCAGCTGTTGGTTCGAGGGGAAATACTCCTGATACGGACAATCTCCCATCGGAAGACCCGAAACATAATGCATCTCATGCAAAGCTAGCCCTAGCTCACCACCACTGGTCAGAAAAGTGTTGCTGTCAGGCATGTAGGTCTCCAGCAAAGCCAAGAAATGGCGACAGCTGACTGGGATTCCGTACATAGTAGCTCGTATGGGCACGTACAACCCACTGCTCTTCAGATCCCTCTCCCAGCGCGCCAAGACGAAATCAGTCATGCGAGCCCACCACCCTTTGGCTAGTGAGGAAGCCCAGCCATAGCATCTGAACTCTACTGAAGATAACCGTCTCCCCAAAAGAGCCAGACGATTACTCACAGTAGAGGCAGCTGCTGACACCTCGCCTGGGGGTGCAGTGTCAAGACCCATAATCCCGGGTCGAAGACCACGAACGTCAGGATACCCGTTAGAGCCGGGGGTCTTGTGGTGAGTGACATATCCGCACTGAACCCGCTCAGCATCTTCAGTAAGAGGCCAAGACATCTGTCTGTCAACGACCTGCCCCTTCAAGTGACTGAAGGAATATTGGCGTGGAATCGAAGGGATGTACAAACAAGCTCCACCATCAAAAGTCAGCCAGTGCTCCTCTTCAAGAGTCAATATAGCGGGGTCCTCAACATGATCCCCGAACAAGAAGCTCGGCTTCTGTAAAGCCTGAGTGGAAGTAGAATCAGCGGTAAAGGTGGCGTCTGTGATAAGCTGGCGCAAACAGTGGCGCCCTCCTTCCCGTACTAAGCGACAAGATTCATCTGAGCGACCTCTATCGAATCGAGGAAGTGGGCTAACAGCCTGTCTAAGGGAAGCCGAAGAGAAGACCCCCCGACTACAACCGGTGTTGGCATGAGGAGGAAGACTACCCGAGGGGAATTCCACTGCAATAAAGCACAAGGGTGGAGTCAAAAAAAAAAATTCATAAGAAAGAATGATAAACTCATTCACGGAATAATTGGAGAGACGATTTTGAGTGTCCTACACCGGAAGAACGGTATGCATCATCACGTGAATAACGTGGTGACATACACCGACCTATAAGGCGTAGGACGACACAAAATCGCCCCAATATACCGGAGACTTGAATTGGCTAAGCAAAACAAGTCTGAAACCTTACCCTCCGCGAGAGAGGTATCGGTTCTTCCTTCATGACCCGCAAAGAGGTCAATCAGGGATGCAAAAAAAAAAATCGGCATAAATTCTCACCCCCGAAGAATGAGGCCGCGGAAGAGGATGTCGTAGGAACCTCCTCCTCACTATGCTGTGAACGAGAACGACTCCTACGGGGTCGAGATCGACGCGGAGACATTGCCAATCTGCAACGAAAAGCAACAAGTCAGGTACAATCTAAAATATGAATACACGAAATTTAAAAGGGAAATTGAGAACTTTAATTGAAATCCTATACATAAATAGGATTTCATAATTGAAGTCTAATTAAACCTACAAATTTCGCGCATGCGAAACAATGATTGTCATTTTCGCGGTGAATTTTGGTGAAATACCCAAAATACCCTCCGTGTTCAAGGCCAAAATTCAGGTCAAGGACACACCCGGTTCGGGTCATGGTCATCATATTTGATCATTTAGCACCCCCAACACCCCGCAATCTTGGTCAATTTTACAAATGAGCCCTTTTGTAGAATTGAGCCAATTTTGCAGATAAATCCCTCAAACTATATTGCAATTTTGCATAAAAGCCCCTCTAAGACACTTATGGGCTGTTTTGCAAATTAACCCCTCAAATAACTCTTTGATCCTCTTGCATAAAGCACCCCTCACAATNAATCCAAGACCAAATTTCAGTCCTATTTTGCATAAAAGCCCCTCAAAAATTTCGGCCATAGTGCAATTTTGCATAAAAGCCCCTCAAAAATTTCGGCCATAGTGCAATATTGTATAAAAGCCCCTCAAAAAATTTCGGCCATAGTGTAACTTTGCATAAAAGTCCCCCAAATTCTCGGCCACATAAAAATTTTTGCGCAAAAAACCCCCAAAGTCTCGGCCATTACCTCTTTTTGCACAAAACCCCCCGAAGTAATAGTGCATACACGCCCCCTAGTCTACTACAAGAATAAAGATGCAATCTTTACAAGAAAATAAGAGGATGGTAAAGAAGAGCTTACCAAATCAAAAGAGTTTTCTTTGAGCTTGAAGATGAAGGAGGGAACCCTACTTGGAGGAGCAAGTGTTTGACCAATAGGAGACACCCAAAATCCGAGCTCCTCTTGAAGGGTTGATGGATCCTTAAGAACAAATCAATGGAGGAAAGAAGCTTGGGGAAGAAGGAGTCTTGTTTTGTCCCCATATGCCTGTTTTGGACCCGGATACGCCCGTTTTCGTCGATTATTGGATGTTTTGATGAAAATCAACACCAATCAACATTCGATGCACGAAACCCTAAAGGTCAATGCCGGTCAACGCGTAACCCTAGGTCAACGCGTTGCGACAAAAGTCAACGTTCGAGGATGAAAATCCACAACGTTTGACGATTCAAAACCCTAAGGGTCAACGCCGGTCAACGCGTAACCCTAGGTCAACGCCAGCCAACGCGTTGCGACAAAAGTCAACGTTCGAGGATGAAAATCCACACCAATCAACGTTCGACGATTCAAAACCCTAAGGGTCAACGCCGGTCAACGCGTAACCCTAGGTCAACGCCAGTCAACGCGTTGCGACAAAAGTCAACGTTCGAGGATGAAAATCCACACCAATCAACGTTTGACGATTCAAAACCCTAAGGGTCCACGCCGGTCAACGCGTAACCCTAGGTCAACCCCACTCAACGGGTTGCGTGCAAAGCCAACGTTCAACGATTCTAAACCCTGAGGGTCAACGCCGGTCAACGCGTAACCCGAGGTCAACGCCAGTCAATGCGTTGCAATAAGAGTCAACGTTTGACGATTCGAAACCCTAGGGTCCACGCCGGTCAACGCGTAACCCTAGGTCAACGCCAGTCAACGCGTTACGACAGAAGTCAACGCGTTACGACAGAAGTCAACGTTCGAGGATGGAAAATCCACACCAATCAACGTTCGACGATTCAAAACCCTAAGGGTCAACGCCGGTCAACGCGTAACCCTAGGTCAACGCCAGTCAACGCGTTGCGACAAAAGTCAACGTTCGAGGATGAAAATCCACACCAATCAACGTTCGACGATTCAAAACCCTAAGGGTCAACGCCGGTCAACGCGTAACCCTAGGTCAACGCCAGTCAACGCGTTGCGACAAAAGTCAACGTTCGAGGATGAAAATCCACACCAATCGACGTTCGACGATTCAAAACCCTAAGGGTCAACGCCGGTCAACGCGTAACCCTAGGTCAACGCCAGTCAACGCGTTGCGACAAAAGTCAACGTTCGAGGATGAAAATCCACACCAATCGACGTTCGACGATTCAAAAC